TTGCTACGTTATAGAGGGTTGCAATGAAATATAATTAAGGTTAATATAAAATCAAGGGTATTTTAAAATAACACATGTGAGCAAGGGTTGCTTGTTATTGAGGGTCACCTGAATACTAAACAATATTTAATTGGGGTTCAAAATTTATTGATTGGATTAGGAAAGAACGTTGATACGAGAGAATATAATTATCTAAGTAAGTAACAACAGCACGTAACAAGACTGACAGAATAAATAAATGTTCAATAATACATTATAATAATACAATTATAAAGTTCAATTTTTTTACACAGTTTATATACCATCTAACTTACTAATTTGTTTTCTTAAACTTTAGTTCCAGCCAAATTAAAACAGATTACATGTAATTTAATATAACAAAGTAAGTGAATGATTATAAATCATAATGTTCTTGATTTAAATTTACGGAGAGTTTTCATATTACTAATATAAAATATTGATTACCCAGTGTTAACAAAATGAAGAGTACAGTTATTATTTGCCTGCACAATAATAATTAGTAATAATAAGAATTGGGGATTATAAAATCAGCTTAAATGAAGGATGTTTTGGGATAATAATGTAGATGAAGTAGGGATGTATAAATACTAACAATTGTAAAAAATTGTAAACATTATAAAACTTCTTACATTCAAAGTGCATCCCAAAATATTAATATAAGATTAAACCGGTATAATACAGGGTGGCGCAGATGGATCGGGTGGTTTTAAAATACTTGTTAAACTGTCAATTTTAAAGGTATTGAATTGAAATAAAGTGCAAAACTTGTAGTTACAATGAAAGTTTATTTACAAAAAAATAGTTAAGTTGGTTTTTAAAAATTACATGCATAAAATGCCTTCCTTCTCGAGCGACGCGTTCTTGGAGTCGATCCTTGAGGTTCCGCATTGCTCGCTCAAGCACATCACCAGGAATTTATGTGATTTCGTTGTGAATTGCAGCCTTCAGCTCCTGAAGCAAGGGTCTACATGAACAAACCCCGGACCATTCAGGAGTTGAAGGCTGCAATTCACAACGAAATCACATAAATTCCTGGTGATGTGCTTGAGCGAGCAATGCGGAACCTCAAGGACCGACTCCAAGAATGCGTCGCTCGAGAAGGAAGGCATTTGATGCATGAAATTTTTAAAAACTAACTTAATACTTTTTTGGCAATAAACTTCCGTTGTAACTACACGTTTTGCACTTTGTTTCAATCCAATACCTTTAAAATTGACAGTTTGACAAGTATTTTAAAACCACCCGATCCATCTGCGCCACCCTGTATAAAAGTAATATTGTTCAAATGCATTGTGGCTACTAACTTACTAAGTAAGTGAGATAACTAGGCCCATAAAGAACTATAGGCATGATAAATTATTCATCTTAAATAGTTAACTTTGAAATACTCATTTGTGTGTTCGAAAAAGTTACGAAAATAAAATAAGCTACTATCGCAAGCCACGAGCTTAATACTATTTCCGTTGTCAATAACCCAACTTAAAGGTTATGTTATTTTTAACTGTGTGTATTTAACTAAGATTTCTTTCTGTTTATTTTTTAAGATTTCGAAAAAGAACTAAGACTTACGAGGGATAAACCAAAACTTCCCTTCCTGTTTCCATATTGGTTGATAAGGGATTTTTCCCTTTGGCATACGACGCATGACGTATAGTTTGTAAAATACGACCTACAATCTCAGATTATATCCTTTAACGCACAAACCCCAAAATACAATGAATTTAAAGCTAAGTTTATTTGAATAGTCACTATCATCGCGAACATAATCATTAATATTATGAGATAACAAAATGTTTAACATACATTTGCCCATAATATACCTTGTCTTTCTAGCATAGTGTACAATGGTATCTTTCTTAATTTAACTGTGACACCTTCCATTTCTTCGTCCCTTACCACCTTGGGTCTAGGCCTAATAGTCATTTTGAAAGCTTAAAATTAAACTTACTTCACAGCAACTTCGGAACGACTGGGGAGAGTGCTTGTCCAGGCTTGGAATGTGTATTTCTGTCTAAATGTTACATTGTAACACAGATAATACAATCTTTCCTTATCTAAAGATATAAATTACAACTTTCATAGTTAAAAATATTGATGTTCATCAATTATTTTCTGTTCTTGATAAGTAAATGGTAGGATTTTGGATTTAAATTTGTATTTTTTTACCAACCAATTGAGAGTTGTCACATATTAGTTGTTATTAAAATTTGCTTAGAAAAAATATAACGAAATACAGTAAAAACTTTTGTTTTTAAGACATTTTCAAAACTATTATAGAAAATAACCTACTATATCATGATTGTTCATGCCTATAATACTTAATGTGTTAAATGTAATAAACGAAAAAAATCTGATTATTTTTCTTATGATTGCCATATTTATTATATTTCTATCTTTATTTTTATGAATATTTGGGAAGTGAAATAGTTTGAAGTTTTAAGGTGGGGCCTTTTGCGTATTAATAAGGAGTATACATTGTTAAATCGTATGACTATATAGATATAAATATACTAGTATCTTATCTAAAGTTTTAACTAAATATATCTCTAGAACTCTCTCAGATACTAAAGTAGTGTTTGTGTAGCTAGTACAGTTCACGTTTAACATACCCGGTTTTCGGCAAAGACGAATTTCTATCGGGTTCATCTTCATTTTGGAATAATTGTTATTCTATTGTCTCCACGAATAACAAAATTACTTGAGAAGAGCTCAACTGACCCTTTGAAGTTTGCCTACGCTATCTGTACGAAGCATCTAAATATAAGATCGGTATGTAACCTTAAATATGTATATCAATAAAATATCTAGGAAAATGTGGTTATAAGCTTAACGTTATCTACTACAAAACTGCTACATAACTATGCTAACGATGTTTTACTTACTCCATAACTAATTGTAACACATTGCTAAGCCTAAAATTAAAAATTTTTAGAGGTTTTGTTACAAATTTATAAAAAAATACGAGTATATAAGAATAGACTATGGTAGGGGTTTTGTATGCATACTTAGTGATATAACTAAATAAAGACTTTTTAAAACATGCTTCTAATATATTTTAAGTGGTGATATATAAGTCATTGGAGACTATTTAATATGAACATCTTACTTGTAAAGAAAATAGACGGTTCCAAATTTTCCTTTTTATAATCGTAAAATCGGTTGATACCCATGCTTGTTCTAGTCGTCTAGTCTGTTGAGATCTCAGTAAAAAAAGGTTTATACAAACCAAGATGATACTTTGTTGCTGGATGATTTTAATGCGGCATTATCAAATCATAACTGTTATTTTGGAATGTGTTCAAAATATCCATTATTCTTTGATACGTTCACAAGTGTTCATGGTTGAAAGTGTTAACTTATCAATGTACCGTTCCTCTATCTATTATATTTTTCTCTTTAAGAACTCATTTTAACATTTTAACGTAACATCATTGTTACTTTTTTCTGATTTTCGCTAAATAAATTATCTTTTAGTGATACATTTTATTGAATGATTACCTAAGACTGAAATTTATAACATTGTCATTTGTAATAACATAAAAGTCTTTTACATTATTAACCTTTGCCTCTTTATTCTATTCGTAGGCTACTCAATCGTAAAAGATTTATTACGTTTATAATATTAGAAAATGATATTTTTTTTTAGTAGAGTAACATTTATAACCCACGGATCTTTTATTTAACGGAATATTTATAAACTACAATTTACTCTTTACTTAGTTTTATTTTTTTTACTGTGATTTAATTATATTTATCGTCAATCATCATTTTAATCCAAAACCCCAAGCTTTTTTATACTATATTTTTTATAACAAAACTGTTTATCAACGTATTGTAAAAACACGCAGCAATAATCCCTTAAAACTTATAGCCTTTGTATCAGTACTAAAATATACATTGAACAACACTTGGAAACATTTAAAGTATATTTATAATTCTATTAAATTCGAAAATCTATTAATCTAAATACTCACGCCGTATAAAAAAGGCCCTGGGGTTAAACTCAGCTGAGGAGCCACGAGCATGTGTTGGCATTTGCATGTTTATTTGTGATTTGAAAGAAATATGAAGAAATTCCTCGATATTTTATCACAAGTGATAAAGCCTGCTTGGACATTTTATGTAAACCACTGATAGATTGTTGTATATAAAATTAAAACATTTGGGATGATTATGTTTGATTTTGCAAAGACCATAATCAGTTTGTAGAATGATTTATTGAATGATTGAATTATTTAAGAAATTTGATTTGTTCTACTTTGGCTTCTCTTGGGATTGCTCTATATGTCTGAATACAATAATCAGTTTGAAACTAACAACGCCAGAACAGTTATTTTACATGTTATATTAAAAAAGTTAATATAACCAAGACCTGCAAGAATTGCAAAGCTTTTAGCCACTAACAAATTACCTAACGAATAAGTAACCATGTTAATTCATCACACATTAATATTGTTTGAAAATTGAAAATATCCCATTTTGTAAACACGCGTTTACATTTCATTATAGTTTTTAAAATCATTAAGTGACTAAATCCGTGTGGACTTTGTCCTATATTGTTCTATATTCTGTGTTGTTTTTGTCCTTAATGATGAATAATAATATTGAAATGTAATTGACTTTTAATTAGATGATTTTATGTTTAGTTAAAAATACTACGCTGTAGTGGCCAAAGAATAGATAGTACATTTAACCTAATTTAAAAAATTCACTACAAAAGATCAATGAAAAGAAATTTGTAAAAAAACATTAAAAGAATTAAAACAACTTGTATAACTATTGGTTAAAATATGAACAAAACTAAAAAAAACAGCTTAAAATACTTAGTAGTGTGGTGGAAAAGGAATACCACTAACACTGTCCACTACCAGTTTTAATTATGAAAATTAGTGTTACTCGCTTAATCATTGTCCACCTTTGTATACTATATACTTCTTACTTCTTGATTTAGCCTTTCAACTGTGCCGTTGTTTCAACCACACCTCATACATGGATCCTACCGTAGAATTGGTAAATATTATACTGAAGGCAAAATGGGGAGGAAAGTTTGCTAGAGCTCTAAAGCCTTTCGAGGACACAGCAGACACAGTTAGGTTTGTAGATACAGGAACACCGCTATGTCATACCAAGGAAGAGTGCATGCCTATCATGCAGAAACTGCAGCAGGAGGAATTCGACGCCAACGGATTTGACATCAAGTACAAGTAAGGGTTTGAATAGCTATTTCGTATTATAATTTTGATTACGACTAAAACTGACAAAGTCGAGGATATACATATATATAAATGCACGACTAAAGTTCTCTATATTTCCTCTTAAGTTATTTTCGTTTCCTTGAATGCCTTATCCATTTTATCCCACGTCTAGATTATATTCAAGTGTACCATTTAGGTTAAGACTAATTACAAGGAGCTTGACAAACACTTGTCCTTTATTCATAAATCTATTCGATTTTATTCCTACTTTTCAGCTTCTACATTGGTGGGGATGGATGTATATTTGAAGGTCGTGGATGGAATGTAGAGAGTTGGAAACCAGAAGAACTTAAAGATCTAAAAAGCCATTGTTTGGATATCGCATTTTTGATTGATTTGAAAGGTGATTGATTTTAACTGTAGAAGTAGCTTAACTTATTATAAGTTTATCTCATTGAGGTGTTTAACATTGAAAACATTTTCAGTACCCATAGAGCTTTAATAGTGCAGCTTTACTTGGCAAATAGTAATATTATAGGGACATAAAGTATACTAAGATTATTTATAATTTTCAGAGTCCAAAATTACCCCGGAAATGAAGAAATCAAGCGATGATATGTTGACATATGGTTTGCAGGAAGAGTTTATAAAAGAAGGCTACAAACTAATCGGACTACCAGAATAAAGTTTAGTAGAAACTATAACAACCTTAAAGAAAATGTTGGAGGAATTCATGTTGAATCAACTTACTTGAATGAATATACACAACAGTTTCGGCACCATCGACTAATGACATGATTATGAAATATTTTAGAGTGACTCGACAAAAAAATACACAATATTGTAAATATATATTGTTGTTAAATATAAAAATAAACAACAAAGTAAGAGAAGCAGAGGTTAATAAATGTTATCTGCTTATCACATGTGCTTAATGTCACTTCCTGGAGCATAAATATTGATTGTACAGGAATTATGTGTGGATATTAAGATCGAAAACATGTTTAACAACGTTTAAGGAGAAATACATGATTGCATACGGCTAGGGTGGAAGTTAATTAAAAGATGTTGATACACCCACAAAAACCCCACATATCAAGGTAATTATATATTTTCATTCTATAGCTTCAGATTTTTAAGTAATGAGTTATTGATAAAAACACAAATTACTTAGTCCTTGAGATTATCAAATATAGATTTTTCAGGAGCCAAAAGCACAATATCATTTGCCAATTATGTAAGAACATATTTTAAATCTTTTTTTATTCTTAGGAAATACTTACTATTTCTAAAGCGTGAAAAGTGTAAGGAAATGTCGGGAAAATCTGGCATCTCATCATCACGAGGACGGCGATTTCCACGCATCGCATCATACTTTGCGTAAGGGTCGGCAATGTCATGGCCCAAATCTGGCTCTTCATCCATACCACCGTCCATACCACCACCCATACCACCACCCATACCACCGCCCAGACCATTGTCCATATCATAACCCATACCACCGTCCATACCACCGTCCATACCACCGTCCATACCACCGTCCATACCACCGTCCATACCACCACCCATACCACCACCCATACCACCACCCATACCACCGCCCAGACCATTGTTCATATCATAACCCATACCACCGTCCATACCACCGTCCATACCACCGTCCATACCACCGTCCATACCACCGTCCATACCACCGTCCATGGGTCCGTGAACATTCGGATCGTACTCTTCATAACCAGACATTTTCTACAATAAGCTGAAACGCGAGAACTAACTTGACTTAGAACAGTGAAACAAAGTGTGTACTTTGTTGTTTAACCCTTGCTCAATATCTTCGCTTTATCTATAGAAGTTACAAGTAATTTATCAGTGATAATGAGACAATGAAATTGATTACAAAGTCCAAACCAAAGAAAGCCACCTATGAAGCAGCGCAAGGTGAAGTTATAGGCACACTTATGCAATTGTCACTCTTTAAGTCACCTAGAAAATCTCTGAAGTAGTAGTTTTCATTTAGTGAAATATTTGGTCCTTATTGATGTAGCGTGAAGCTATACGTATATATTATATAATGAGGGGAATAGCCCTGTATGTAATATTAGGTGTTTCTTTTTATAATACAATTAATATATAAATTTAAGGTTGAATACAAATTACCATTGACGATTCAATCATTCGAATGTTGAATCAGAATATATAATCGTTATTTATAATAACTTTCATTAACCCATGTTATTGATACCCATTATTTTTTAAATCATAATTTTATTTTTCAAATACACTTTAGGTTTCACATAATATTTCTCTCTATAATATCTAGCCTTTTTGTCCCCTTTTACGGAAGCTAGCCTCTTTACTAGTACCATTACTTCAGGTTAGGTAAATAGTGTTGCCACGTTATGACGTAGCTAAAATCAATTGGAGGTTGTTGGGCTTTGAACCCGGGACTTGAGTGAATATCTAAAACTAAATCAGTTAGGTTTTTGTCATCACTAGCTCTAACTTGTTTGTATATAATATTTACCCATACAAAAGGAAAATGTATTGAGAAGATTTTCGAGCTCAATCATTTTTTATTCCGACTATATTATTTTTATCAAATATACACTAATCAACATCACATTACAAAAATATTTAGGCTAACTCACATTTTAGCTAAGTTGTATCAACTATTTAGCTAATATGGGAGTAACATCTTTTTGTATAATAGATTTAGCAAATACTTATACAAAAAATGTAATTTTTCACTGAATAACTATTAAATGTTGTATGCCTATTTATAATTATCGTTGAACGTGAACGGTGTTCAATTTAGAAATAAGAATATCTATAATACCATCCTGTCATATTCACTACCATCTACAGTAAATTTATTACCAAACCATTTCCCGGTTTTGGTGTTCATTTTATAAATGTCAAATTTAATAGGTCTACATTTTATTAATGCAATACTTATTTATTTGTTTTTAACGGTTTAACATTGTAAACTTATCATTCACATGACGAATTCATTCAGAACGTAATTAGTTACAGGTTAAAACTAAACGGTCTTCGAAACTAACTCAAAATCTATTCCTAATTTACAATTTCATTGCAAAATGAACAGCAAATGTACGTACCCTCCTTTGGAAAGAAACCTACTGAAAAATCTGGAAAGTCACCCATTGTTTATATTGTTTGGACAAACAACTGCCTCAACAGCTGGATATGAAATAGTCTTAGATTTGAACGTTATTATAATCCAATCTGAGATAAACATATTCCACATTGAGAGATAAGCAAGTTTTAAAATCACACTGAGCTAAATCAACGGTGACTAAAATTCTTCCCTTCCATTAAATACACTGTGTGTAAAATGTACCAACAATTCTCATTTAATGGATTGATATCCGATATGCCAAGCTACAACCATAGCTAATGGTTTTGATGTTTTAAGCCGAGAAAGTTGGTCGTGTGGAAACAGTGATCTAATGAGTGTTTGGGCAGCGCTCCAGCCTCGGATGGCCTTATCTGGACCTATGTATCTAGTCGATATATTGGTAAGATACCTTCCATAACATACATAAAAATGTCTAAGGTTTCCATTTTTGCTTCAGAGAATAACAAATATGATTGAACGTCTTGTAAAAAGTTGAATATTTGAATATTTAGTATCTTAAATAGAATATATCTTTTAATTGCATTGTGTATGTGAAATGTTTTAAAAGTAACACGATATTGGAATTTGCATTAGTGTTAAAACTATAATGTGCATCAAAACGAGTTATGAATAAATGTTGTGATACGAAATTAATAATAAAATAGAATATAAAGGGACCATATTTTGTGTCGGAATAGTTATAGCATTGCAAAGTTGGACCCCATTGCTCTCTGTCAATTCACGGAAAAACGAGTACCTACTTCTCTATGAAAAATACAAGTTTTTCTCCTTAATTAAAGCAAGATTAATTATAACTGAGAATCACATGAAGAACAATTACGTTCAGATGTACATAAAACAACTAAAGATTAGAAAACAAAACTAATCTTAACTTATTTTAAGTCGACTTTACCTCATGTCAAACAGTGTCACTTTAGGCCCTATTGCTGAAATATTCTATTTTATGATCTATTGCCATGTTTATTCACAATTATTATTAACCTCAAAACATCTCATTGCTCCAAGGCCAGACCCGACGACTTTTAGGGGAGGTTCATAACACAGATGTATTCCAGATCTCAACCAAAGCTAGAACCCCCTAATTACCCCCTCATTAATCTAGGACCAGCGTCATTTCCAGACCAGGGGTTGGTCGTCATACACGCCCCGTCATTAGGGTTTGACATGTGTTAAGGATAACCCCTTACCCCCCTGTAGCTGATACTGATATAGGCGTCATTTGGAAGGTAACATTCAGTTTGGGGTTGTAACATTGGTTCTTCATTATAATTTAATTTTTGACTGGGTTTTTTAATATGAAGTTATGTGGTGGACACACAATATTACACCTTGTAGTACTTTAAACTGACTTAAAAAAAACAAACAATTTTCTAACCATTGTGTTCATGACTGGGTCTTTTGAACTCAAAAGGTTCACCAATAAAAGTAAGTCTTTGTATAATTACTTGTCGTTTTAATGATGACGAAAAATATTGTTCATGATAACATAATTTACTTATCAATTGACTGCTTTCATGCAAACTGTTTATAGCACGAAGATGTTGATAAAAACTAGTAATGTAATAGTTTTAATAATAATCATATTAATAGTATTGAGAATTTCAAGAACCACATATTATATAAACAAATGGCAGTGTGTTGGACAAAAAATGAATAACGGATACAATGATGTAAGTATATATTTCGATGATATGATTTAATTTGAAAATTCATCCACAAACACGATTTAAAGTCGATAATAATAATGAGGCTACGCTCATCTTCAATCCCTTTTGAAGCTAGTGTCAACAACGGAAAGTGCAACTAACATTTGTTTTACTACGCGAGAGCTGTAAATAGTTAGTAACAAATTGACAAGTTTCCAGGAAACATAAAGTTGGGAAACGAACCGGCCAAACATTAGAGAACAGCGAACGACTTTGCACATAGACCTTAAATATTCATGGTTTCCTGGCGACAACACGTAAACAAATCCATATCCATAAAACTTAAGACTACCTGGAACATACAAATCGTTCATCATTGCACACATACTCTCTCACATACGCACGCACACTCTCTCACGCTGTGTGGGATCACTGTTGTTAGCCCATTGAATTATAATTACTTAATCATCAAGGTATAATAAGGAGGTACCTCACGATTTGGCAGTTATAGATTGTTCTAAGGATGGGCTCAACTCCGTGGAAACAATGTTGAATATATTTACACCCGATGAAGTAACAAAATGACGGAGTATGATGTCATACTGACAAGGTCTAACCTAAATGTAAAGTAAATTAATTTGTAGTTTGGTATTATAAAAGATTAGTCTTATATTTTGTGTACTTTAAACCTACGAGGGTTTAATAATTAATTTAATTTTGAGCTTAGTAAAACCAGAACCAATATTATGAAAAGTTTTCTTCAATAAGTGTTAGAATAATTGTCCCCGTAGTTTATGAAACATGTTTTGACCTTTTCTCTGAATTTAAACATTATCTGTGATCTTTGGTTACTATTTGATAAGTATCAAATACAAAGTACAAAAAATTCGTGTGAATTACTCTATTTTCGTTTCCGAAATGAAAACTGCCTATATCCACCTATTACCAATAGAAGATCTTTCATTTTTAAGTCTATTGGAAACAAATGAACAAAGAGGTCTTAGATTTACGGAATGAGTCGTGACACA